CTCCTGCCTCAGCTTCCTGAGTAGCTGGGACTACAGGCACGCGCCACTATGCCCAGCTAATTTTCTGTAGTTTTAGTAGAGACGGGGTTTCACCATGTTGACCAGGATGGTCTTGATCTCTTGACCTTGTGATCCACCCGCCTCGGCCTCCCAAAGTGCTGGGATTACAGGCTTGAGCCACCGCGCCCGGCCCATAACTGCATTTCTAAGTAAAATAAAGAAGTTTAAAAGGATCTAAATTTTCTATACTTTTTAATTATGTAAAATGTATTTAAAAAAAGAAATAAAATTAAGCTAAAAATTCAAATGTATTTAGGGAATTACATTTCTGGAATTAGTCTTTAAAGTTTCTCTCCTCCGCCCCCAGACAAAAATAACACTCTTTTAGTGTTCAGTTCTAAGAGTTCTCATAAATGCATACTCGTGTAACTACAACCACAATCAAAACAGTCATATCACCCCTAAAATATTTCCTCATACTACCTCTTTGTAGTCAAACTGTCTATTCTTTTTTTTTTTTTTTTTTTTTGGGACAGAGTCTCACTCTGTTGCCCTGGCTAGAGGGCAGTGGCACCATCTTGGCTCACTGCAACCTCCACCTTCTAGGTTCAAGTGATTTTCCTGCCTCAGCCTCCCCAGTAGCTGGGACTACAGATACACATCATCATGCCCGGCTAATTTTTGTATTTTTAGTAGAGATGCGGTTTCAACTATGTTGGCCAGGCTGGTCTTGAACTCCTGACCTTGTGATCCACCCACCTCGACCTCCCAAGTGGCTGGGATTACAGGCGTAAGCCACAGTGTCCAGCCATTCTCTCTACTCTTAACCCCAGGCAATCACTGATCTGTTCACCACTGTTCCTAGAGTTTTGAGTTTTCCCCAGAACATCATACAAATGCAATCATACAGAGTATAGCCTCTTGAGTTTCATTTCTTTAACTGGGCATAATACCCAGGAGATTTATTCATGTTACGGCATATACGAATAGTTCCTTTTTATTGCTGAGTAGTATTCCATTGTATAGATATATCACAGGTTATTTATTCATTCCCCAGTTAAGAGTCATTCAGGTTGTTTCCAGTTTGTGGTGACTATAAATAAAGCTGCTGTAAAGAGCCACATACAAGTTCTTTTGTGAACACAGATTTTTATTTCACTTGGGTAAATACTTAGGTCATTTATGTATGCATGTATGTATGTACGTATGTATGTATGTATATATTTATTTAGATGGGAGTCTCACTCTGTTGCCAGACTGGAGTGCAGTGGCACAATCTTGGCTCACTGTAGTCTCCAAATTCCTGGTTCAAGGGATTCTCCTGCCTCAACTTCCCAAGTAGGTGGGATTGCAGGCATGCACCACCATGCCAAGCGAATTTCTGTATTTTTAGTTGAGAGAGGGTTTCACCATGTTGGCCAGGATGGTCTCACTCTCCTGACCTTGTGATGTGCCTGCCTCGGGCTCCCAAAGTGCTGGGATTACAGGCGTGAGCCACCGTGCCTGGGCTGAATCTATTTCTGAATGCTCTGTTCTATTAATTGATCTATGTATCTATCCTTTTGCCAATACCACACTGTCTTGATTACTGTAGCTCTTTAGTAAGTCTTTAAATCAGATAGTATAAGTCGTTCAATCCGGGCGCGGTGGCTCACGCCTATAATCCCAGCACTTTGAGAGGCTGAGGCAGGCTGATCACCTGAGGTTGGGAGTTTGAGAGCAGCCTGACCAACATCGTTAACCCATAAAAAAAAAAAAAAAAAGATAGTGTAAGTCTTTCAACCCCGTTGTCCTTTTTCCAAAATTGTTTTGGCTATTTTAGTCCTTTGCTTTTCTATATAAATTTTAGAATCAGCTTGTCAAAGACTTTTTTTTTTTGATACAGAGTCACACTCTGTCACCCAGGCTGGAGTGCAGTGATGCCATCTTGGCTCACTGCAACCTCCACCTTCTGGGCTCAAGCAATCCTCCTGCCTCAGTCTTCAAAGTACCTGGGACTACAGGTGTGAGCCATCATGCCCAGCTAATTTTTGTATTTTTTTGTAAAGACGAGGTTTCACCATGTTTCCCAGGCTGGTCTCAAACTCCTGGGCTCAAGCAATCCACCCACCTCCATGCCATGCCTGGCCATGTCAGACTTTTTAAACTTTCCTGCAAAGTGTCCACTTTTATGTAGGGTTTGGCTTCCTAGATTCACTTAAAGAAAAAAACAATGGCAGTATTAGGATGATTAGAAATCTAACATCTATTTTTCAAGATTTTAATTTTTCACTTACACAGCTTCTCTGAGATTTCCTGCAGTTGTCCAGAAGAAAAGAAAAATGTTTTGTATAAAGACATGTATTGCCAGGTGTGGTGGCTCACGCCTGTAATCCTAGCACTTTGGGAGGCCGAGGTGGGTGGATCACCTGAGGTCAGGAGTTCAAGACCAGCCTGGCCATCATGGTAAAACCCCATCTTTAAAAAAAAGGGGGCCAGGCACGGTGGCTCACGCCTATAATCCCAGCACTTTGGGAGGCCGAGACGAGTGGATCACGAGGTCAAGAGATTGAGACCATCCTGGTCAACACGGTGAAACCCCGTCTCTACTAAAAATACAAAATTAGCTGGGCATGGTGGCGCATGCCTGTAGTCCCAGCTACTCGGGAGGCTGAGGCAGGAGAATTGCTTGAACCCAGGAGACGGAGGTTGCGGTGAGCTGAGATCGCGCCATTGCACTCCAGCCTGGGTAACAAGAGCGAAACTCCATCTCAAAAAAAAAAAAAAAAAGACATGTATTATTACTTAATACAACAGAGTTGAAAACCCATTTTTCATAAAAGACATGCTATTCATTCCAAACAGTGAAAATAAAATATGTTAAGTTTCTTGTACTTTACAAACAATGGTCCCTCTGCTGCCAATGATCTTCCTCTTACTCTTTACCTAACTCATACCCATCCTTCAGGTCTTACTTTGGACAATCCTCCATCCACAAGCCTTCCTTGATTCCCTCTAAATACAGGCTAAGAGTTAGCATATTTCCATTACACCCTAAAGACCCCTATCATCACATTTTTTTGTTGTTGTTGTTATTGGAGACAGAGTCTTGCTTTGTCGCCAAGCGCCAGGCTGGAGTGCAGTGGCGTGATCTTGGCTCACGAATCATTTGAACCCAGGAGGTGGAGGTTGTGGTAAGCCGAGATAGCACCATTGCACACTCCAGCCTCGGCAACAAAAGCAAAACTCTGTCTTAAAAAAAAAAAAGGTGGCCGGGCGCGGTGGCTCACGCCTGTAATCCCAGCACTTTGGGAGGCCGAGGCGGGTGGATCACGAGGTCAAGAGATCGAGACCATTCTGGCCAACACAGTGAAACCCCGTCTCTACTAAAAATACAAAATAATTAGCCAGGCGTGGTGGCACGCGCCTGTGGTCCTAGCTACTCGGGAGGCTGAGGCAGAAGAATCACTTGAACCCAGGGGGCAGAGGTTGCAGTGAGCCAAGATTGCATCACTGCACTCCAGCCTGGTGAGAGAGCAAGACTCCATCTCAAAAAAAAAAAAAAAAAAAAGGTAACTTTCTGTGGGATGGATGGATTGATTGATTGATTGATTGATTGATTGATTGATTTTTTAAGACAGGGTTTCACCATGTTGGCCAGGCTGGTCTTGAACTCCTGACCTCAGGTGACCCACCTGCCTTGGCCTCCCAAAGTACTGAGATTACAGGCGTCAGCCACCGTGCCAGGCCGGGATTTTTTTTTTTTTTAGTCCTTATATTTTAGAGATACATACTGAAATATTTATTCATGAAATTACATGTCTGGGATGTGATTCAAAATAATCCAGGGCCAGGTGTGGTGGCTCATGCCCGTAATCCCAACACTTTGGAAGGCTGAGGTGGGGGGATTGTTTGAGCCCAGGGGTTTGAGATCTGCCTGGGCAGCACAGTGAGACTTCATCTCTACCCTCCCAAAAAAAAAAAAAATTAGCTGGGCATAGTGGCCTGTGCCTGTAGTGTCTTGCTACTAAGGAGCTGAAGCAGGAGAATCACTTGAGCCCAGGAGGTTGAGGCTGCAGTGAGCCTGATCACGCCACTACACTCCAGCCAGGGCGACACAGTTACACCTCATCTCAAAAAAATTTTAACAATATTGGCCGGGCACAATGGCTCATGCCTATAATCCCAGCACTTTGACAGGCCAATATGGTGGATTGCCTGAGCTCAGGAGTTTGAGCCCATCCCGACAACATGGTGAAACCTTGTCGCTACTAAAATACAAAAAATCAGCCAGGTGTAGTGACGGGTGCCTGTAGTCCCTGCTATTCAGGAGGCTGAGGCACAAGAAATGCTTCAACCTGGGAGGTGGAGGTTCCAGTGAGCTGAGATGCACCACTGCACTCCAGCTGGGTGACAGATGAGACTCCGTCTCAAAAAAAAATTAACAGTGCTTACCGCCGGGCGCGGTGGCTCAAGCCTGTAATCCCAGCACTTTGGGAGGCCGAGGCGGGTGGATCACGAGGTCAAGAGATCGAGACCATCCTGGTCAACATGGTGAAACCTCGTCTCTACTAAAACTACAAAAAATTAGCTGGGCATGGTGGCGCGTGCCTGTAGTCCCAGCTACTCAGGAGGCTGAGGCAGGAGAATTGCTTGAACCCAGGAGGCGGAGGTTGCGGTGAGCCGAGATCGCGCCATTGCACTCCAGCCTGGGTAACAAGAGCGAAACTCCGTCTCAAAAAAAAAACAACAACAACAAAAAAAAAAACAGTGCTTACCTAAAATCTACCAACAATTTCAGATATTCTGCATATTCTTTTTTCATAAAACATGTCTCTACTTATATTTCAAAGTCATAAACTATTAAAAAAAAAGCACCTAATACCAAATTATTCTTCCAAAAAGCAAGGATAGAATATATACCATTTTCTTTCTTTTTCTTTTTTTCTGAGACAGTGTCTCACTCTGTCATCCAAGCTGGAGTGCCGTGGCTCAATCACAATTCACTGCAGCCTCAACTTCTCATGCTCAACTGATCCTCCCATCTCAGCCCTCCTGAATAGCTGGGACTACAGGCACACACAACCATGCCCAGCTAATTGTTTTTTGGTTTTTTTTTTTTTTGAGATGGAGTCTTACTCTGTCACCCAGGCTGGTGTGCAGTGGCTCACTCTCAGTTCACTGCAACCTCTGCCTCCTAGGTTCAAGCAATTCTCTTGCCTCAGCCTCCCAAGTAGCTGGGACTTCAGGCATACACCATCATGCCCAGCTAATTTTTGTATTTTTAGTAAAGACAGGGTTTCACCATACTGGCCAAGCTGGTCTCAAACTTCTGACCTTGTGATCCACTGCGCCTGGCCTCGTTTTTTTTTTTTTTTTTTTTTTTTTTTTTTTTTGAGACAAAGTCTTGCTCTGTCACCCAAGCGGGAGTACAGTAGTATAATCTTGGCTTACTGCAACCTGTCTCCCAGGTTCAAGTGATTCTCCTGTCTCAGCCTCCCTAGTAGCTGGGATTACAGGCACACACCACTACACCTGGCTAATTTTTTATTTTTAGTAGAGATGGGGGTTTTCACCATGTTGGCCAGGCTGATCTAAAACTCCTGCCCTTAAGTGATCCATGCCCTTGGCCTCCCAAAGTGCTGGGATTATAGGCGTGAGCCACTATGCCTGGCCCCAGCTATTTTTTTTACTTTTTGTATAGACAAAGTCTCACTACATTGCTCAGGTTGGTCTCAAACTCCTGGACTCAAGTAATCCATCCATCTATGCCTCCCAGAATGTTGGGATTACAGGCGTGAGCCACCACACATATATCTTTCACTTACCATGAGGTATGTTTATTTCAGTGTTTTCAGTTCTTACGTCACTTGTGAAAAAGCTATGGTGTAACAGAAGCCTAGACATAGGTGGCTTGAGCTCTCAATCCCAGTTCTGAACACACCTAGCACTGCTGGTTCAAAAAGATCTGTATTCTTCAAACTAAATCTTCAGAGTTTCTGGTTCATAAATATCACCCACTTTGTTTTCTTTTTCTTAATCTTTTTCAATATTTATTTATTTATTATTTTTTTGCCACAGAGTCTCCGTGACTGGAGTGCAGTGGCATGACCTTGGCTCACTGCAACCTCCGCCTCCCAGGATCAAGCAATTCTCCTGCCTCAGCCTCCTGAGTCGCTGGGACTATAGGCGCACACCACCATGTCCAGTTAATTTTTGTATTTTTAGTAGAGATGGGGTTTCACCATGTTGGCCAAGATGGTCTCCATCTCCCGACCTTGTGATTCGCCCGCCTGGGCCTCCCAAAGTGTTAGCATTACAGGTGTGATTACGCCCAGCCCTTTTCTTTATTTTTTAAGACATGAGGTCTCACTCTGTTGCATCCCAGGCTAGAATGCAATGGCATGATCATAGCGCATTGCAGCCTCCAATTCCTACACTCAAATGATGCTCCTACCTCAGCCTCCCAGGTAGCTGGGACTACAGGTGCTTGCCACCATGCCCAGATTTTTAAAAAAAAATTTTTTTTAGAGACATGGACTTGCTGTGTTGGTCTCTGGTCTCCAACTCCTAGCCTGAAACAATCCTCCTGCCTTCATTTCCCAAGCACTGGGTTTAAATCGTGTAAGCTACCATACCCAGTCAAAAATCACCCAATTTCTAATGTGAGGTACTTGATGGAACAGACTGCTACTTTTTCTGTTTTTCTAAGAGAACTGATGTTAAGAAGGCAGTTTTTCTAAGATAAACCATTGGAAAAAGAAAATACAGTATAGAGCTCATAGGCACACTAATTTCCTTTTATCAAAAACTTTATAAAACTATGTATGTGGGCCAGGCGCGGTGGCTCAAGCCTGTAATCCCAGCACTTTGGGAGGCCGAGGCGGGTGGATCACGAGGTCAAGAGATCGAGACCATCCTGCTCAACATGGTGAAACCCCGTCTCTACTGAAAATACAATAAAATTAGCTGGGCATGGTGGCGCGTGCCTGTAATCCCAGCTACTCAGGAGGCTGAGGCAGGAGAATTG